GGTTTGGGGGGGGGGGGCAATCTGGATTTTTTTGTGATCTGGGTGTGGATATACCTAGTGAAGGGAGATGAGTTAAAGGGGAGATGAGTTAAAGGGGAGATGAGTTAAAGGGGAGATGAGTTAAAGGGGAGATGAGTTAAAGGGGAGATGTAAAGAGGAGATGAGGCAAGGGGGAGATGAGGCAAAGGGGAGATGAGGTAAAGGGGAGATGAGGTAAAGGGGAGATGAAGCAAAGAGGAGATGAGGCAAAGGGGAGATGAGGCAAAGGGGAGATGAGGTAAAGGGGAGATGAGGTAAAGAGGATATGAGGCAAAGGGGAGATGAGGTAAAGGGGAGATGAGTTAAAGGGGAGATGTCTTAAAGGGGAGATGAAGTAAAGGGGAGATGTGGTAAATGGGAGATGTGGTAAAAGGGAGATGTGGTAAAAGGGAGATGTGGTAAATGGGAGATGTGGTAAAGGGAAGATGTGGCGTGGTTGTGTTTTGCAGTGTCAGTTGGGAAGGGTAAGTGGTGGTGGTGATGTAGAGAAAAAAAGACCAGGATATATCTGGAGATCTGACAGGAGAAGAGAGAACGCTGGTAGCACGTTTGGTGTAAGGGTTATTGAATAGTTGATTGGGATGAGATGGGAGAGTTCGGGGGGAGAACATAGAGTTTTACCGAAGATCGGGATAGTCCGCTGGTGTTGCAAACAACACACAGCTAAATGTGCCGAGTGGCTTGGGGTCGCGCGATCCTTTTCCAGGGGTCGCCTAAGACCATCTGAAAACACATATCCTTACAGCTATGAAGTAGAAAAGAGAATAATTTTTTGACTGGGGGTCGCCACGACACGAGAAACTGTATTAAAGGGTCGCGGCACCAGGAAGGTTGAGAACCACTGGTCTAAACTGACCCAATCCAAAGAGCAGGTAGGTGTGGAGTTCGATCCCCCACCAACAAAGCCAACATCCCAAACACCCCGGTCTTACGGGTTGCGTTAGCCTTGGACGCCCACTCATCTAAGAGAAGGCAAAGTCTGAATTCAAACCTTTAGTCAAAATGATCAATCAGTTGATGGTGGGCCCTCAAACATGAAAAAAAGAACTGTTGACTCACATTTTATGAGTATTACGAATTGCTAGGTTTCTGACGATACCTCTTAGTGTTTTTTATTTTTTTTTGTTAATTAAAAAATTATCTAATTTTTTTTTTTTTTAAAGACGTATCACTACAAGACACTGTTGAATAATAATATACAACACGTAGGGGGTTTATTATAGTTAAAAGCGTACGTGATTTAACTTATTTTTGTTAGGTCTCACTGGCGTAGGAAGACCGTTGCGGATGGGGGGGGGGCCAAGTTATTTATGTGAAGAGGGCTGCATCATCCGCTAGACACAGCGTTATTTTCGTTAAAAGAGGGCGTCAAAATGCTTGTCGCGCCCCGGGCATCACCGACCGTGGATACGCAACTGTAACGGGGTCGACGTAAACCCAAAGGAAAAAGAAGCAGGATTTTTTTTTTAACATAGTGTTGTTTTTTGTTTTTTTTAAATATTGCTTTAGATGCCCCTAATCCAGCGGTTCTCAACCTGTGGGTCGCGACCCCTTTGGAGGTCGAATGACCCTTTCACAGGGGTCGCATAAGGCAATGGGGAAAACACATATACAGACAGTTATGAAGAAGAAACGAAAATAATTTTGCGGTTGGGGGACGCCACAACATTAAGAACTGTATTAAAGGGTCGTGACATTCGGAAGGTTGAGAACCACTGCCCTAACCTCTTTAGGCGCATATATATTTTAGTTAAACACTCTTAAAGAGACTCGCGGGTGCTGGTAGAGGGGAAAGCTCAACCGTTAAAACCAAAAACTTTGTCCTCGACTCTCACAGTTAAATGTCAAGACGGGAAGTTATTTGATTATTTTATTTTAGTTTAAGAGGAAGTAATATTGAAATATCACAGCTTAAGTTAAATCAAGACACAACACATTCTGTGTGTCCCGAGACCAGCCACCTACTGTAGCAAAAAACCTGCTCTACTTTTTTCAACCACGTTTTTTAGACGGCATGTGATGTAACAGGGATTAGATTTAAAAAAAAAAAAATCATAAATAAAACAATGTTTTCAGAAAAGTAACAATACAATTTGCTGGATAAACAAATTTCCTACACCAGGTATGACATGATTTTAAATCAGTTATTACATATCAGTATTACTGGATTACAAAGATTTTTTTTTTAAAATGGAACAAATAATATATTAGCCACCTGAATTTTATGCTATTTCAAACAAAAGTTAAAGGCGTTGAAATTTAATTTTTTTTAAATTACTTCTACTTCTTCTTGTATATTTTGAGGCCCCACACAAGCGATGTATTGATCATTCTGAGTTCATGCTTTGTGTGAGTTCTTCTGCACGTGACATGAAAAAAAAGCTTTTAAAGTGAGTTTTTATTCGAGGAAGGTGTGTGGAGACATGAGATCGCTCTGTATACCTCTCACCTGGCCGCTCACCTGGCCCTCCGACTCCGACAAGAGACGGTCAGTGCAAGGAAAATCACCCGTGAATGGTATTGGGTGGGAAGAAGGTGTGTGTGGGGGGGGTCGGTTTGAACTACCGATCTACAGAGGTCACTGCTGGTCAGACTTCCTGAGATTCGGTGGATATCAGGGTTTCTTTCAGCTATGTCTCCGAGAGGGCACTGTCCTCCCCCCCCCCGGGGAAAGCCAAGTGCCCCCCGGACTTGCTGTGCCTACAAGGATCGGATGTCAGGCCACCCGATCCCACTGTGCCCTTCACATGCTGGGTAGGGTGGAAAAATCTAATGTGCCCCCCCCCCCCCGGGGGGGGGGGGGGGAATTTATGAAATAATCACTGGTGGATATAACAGAGACGAACAGTTACAGCTAGTCCTTTCAGCTTCACATTGAGGAGGAGGAGGGATGAGGATGTTGATATAACAGATCAAGAAGCCATTCGTTTGACGTTGACGTCATTGAGGGACCAATCGTCCCCCCCAACCCCCCAAAAAAATAAAAAATTCAAACTTTTCATTAAGGTGGACCTTCAGCGCCGACAGCAGCTGTGTAACATTGTGCGTACATTTACAGTTTGGGGTAAAAAAAAATTTTTTATTCATTTAATAAAGATCCTATGTATATTTTCAAAGGTATGGTTTCTAATTTTAATGATTTTCATCGGTCTATCCTTCTCTTAACATAGTCATGTATTTTGTTGTGGTGTGTTAAAAAACTTTTTTAAAGCACACCAACTAATAAAACATACACCTTTATCTCTTTGCCATTGAAACATTTAACTCTTAACATGTAACGCTTAACATTTATCGCTTGACATTTTACTCTTAATATTTAATACTTAACATTCAACTTTTTTTTTTTTTAAATATTTTTTTTCAGGATATTTTTTTTTTAAATTTACGAAAATTTAAAAAGAAAAAAAAACAAAATGGTTTCCTTGATAGCTCAATCGTATGTTCTATTTTTTGTAAACCTCATATTATTTGAGCCTGTCGTCATTAGTAGCCTAGACACTTTACATACTCAGAATACAACTGAATCAATAGATGAACAGTCCACTTATTATTATAAAGGCATAGATAAAACAGCAAGTGCTGATTTGCATACAAGAGGATTGATTTCTATGGACACTCTCTTTGCAAAGAAGGCGCTGCAAGGTAAGAAAGGACTAAATAAATTAAAACAAAATATCAACACTGACGATTCTATGGAGCTAACAAAGGAACACGACGAAGGCAGTCTTCACGATGACGCAGACAGTCTTCTCAATGGCGCAGATAGTCTTCACGATGACGCAGACAGTCTTCACGATGACGCAGACAGTCTTCACGACGATGGAGACGCTTTTGATGTTGGGGACATGTTTTCCGATAGCGACGGTGCGCCCAATTTCGTTCCGAGAGCGAAATTACATTTTCAAAATCACATAACTTGCAATCGCTGTGTTCTCACCACCTGCCATTGTGAGAACCTGGCGCTGAATCTTGTACCCCAGCATCTGTCCTCCGCCATCACAGCTTTAGATCTCTCCCACAACGACATCGGCACTCTGCCCAATAAAACATTCTGCGTTTATCCAAAACTTCAGTTTTTGATTCTTGAAGAGAACAAGCTCTCTCGTTTAGAAGTTGATTCTTTTTGGTGCCTTTCTAAACTGGTGTACTTGAATTTAAAAAGTAACCAGCTAAAAATGGTCCACGGTGCGTACCCCAAGGGCGTGTTTTCTCCACTAGTGTCCCTACTTGTTCTTCACATACAACATAACAACCCCAACGCAACGTATCCAGGTTACGACTACCCTGGCGACGCACTGGCCGAATTGAAAAGTCTGCGAGGTCTCAACATGGACGGGCTCAACAACAAGACGTTCGGGCCAGGTTTCGGAAACATGACGTCACTTCGATCACTGAGTTTATCCGGACTTGAAGGATTTTGCAAGCTGGTTGATCTGAGCGACGAGACGTTTGAATTCCTGAGCCATCTGAGAGTCCTCAACATCAGCAGCTGTTGGATCACAGACAAACACCTGCCGAGGGGTATTTTTGCTCCGCTGAAGCAGCTGTCCATACTGGATGTTCAAAACAATTTTTTAATCGGCTTCAAAAGCTTCCGGCGAGCCATGGCTTCCTTGAAAAATTCCAGTCTCACAGTTCTCATAGCCAACAACATTGTATCACAGTACTCGCACTCTCTCCCCGTCGATGAACTGATTGTAGATATATTACCCAAGACACTCGTCTATCTGGAAGCGAGGGGAAACTGCTTTGAATATCTCAAACCTGAGGTGTTCAGCATTCTACCAAAGGGACTGAGATACATTGACGTTGGGAGCAACAGATTCGTGTTTGGAGAATACCTGCAGAATTTGAGTCAACTTGAACATTTAGAAATTCTTAAACTGAACGGTGGAGGCGTACCCACCGAAGTCCCCCGAACTTACCCGCATCAAGCTCGCGGGATGAGTCTGTTAAATATTGATTCACCCTCGCAGAAACTCATGTCTGAAGATGGCGATCTCAACCTACAATTACCGCCGAAACTTAAGATAATTGATTTGTCCGTAGCCACCTTGAAATATGTTCTGTCCAGGCTGGTGGTCAATTCAAGCAACGACGTCGAGCAGCTCATCTTGAGCAACAATTACTTTCCAATCATTTCTGGTCCTTTCATCGGTTTCAACAAACTGCAGATCTTAGATCTCAGTCAATCTTCGATCGGCGACATTTCTCTAACATTTTTTGAGAACTTTCCTGTTTTAGAAACTTTGATTCTAGATTACAATAAACTCGGAGACTTTTTTGCGAGTAGAGGCAAGCGCATGCATGTTTTTGAGAAACTTAAAAACCTGAAACATTTGTTTCTTAACGACAACGGCCTAACCATCTTAGCTAGAAAAATTTTCAACGGACTGGACAGCTTGGAAACACTTTATCTGGGCTGGAACAGTAACTGGCTTTTCGATGTCACCATCTCTCACATGAGGAATTTGAGGAGGCTTAACCTGGCCCACACGGAGGTCACCGGTCTCCCGAGACACATCCGGGATCACATCGACAGCCTCAAAAACGGCATCGAGGTGGACCTGTCCCACTGCCCTCTGCACTGCGATTGTGAGAATCTGGACTTCCTGAAATGGATGGTTCGCTCCACGGCTTTCGACGGGAGCTTCCGCGACTATTTGTGTTTTTACGACGACGCCACATTTCAGAACATCACCGACCAGTTTGCAGGGACTCTGCGCTTCCTAGAGCGTCGGTGTGCAGAGAACTCCACGCTGTTCCTAATCGTTCTCTCAACGACCCTGTGTTTGCTGTGCTTCGTCATGGGCGGCGTAGCCTACAGGTATGTGGATTTAATCTTGGTCAGTCATTAACGTATTGTTAAACATTTAAAAAAAAAAACTTATTTAGACCTCATAATATACAACAAGACGGGTGCATAACGGCATTTTTAAAATAGTTATTGTCATTTTTTACATTTTAGCAGGGCTATATATCATAACACTTAGTTACAATGTTCGGTTCCAATGAAGTTAATAATCTGTATGCCTAAAAATACATATTGCTTTTTTTTCCCCTTAAATTTTTCCCCTTAGGATTTTCACTTAAGAGTATCTTGGATTCGGCAGTTGGGCTCCTTGATGGAAAGTCTCTAGACACATTAAAAAACTTTTTTTTAAATGTGGTTTTTTCTGTGCAGAGCTGTTTTTAGATTTTTACATTCACTCAAATCGATTTGAATAAGAAACAAAGCTTCCTGTAGAAAATTATGAAGATTATTTTGAGCATATAATACACGTTTTGGACTAATTTTAAGTCTGGTGTTTATTTAATATATATATATATATATATATATATATATAATAATAATAACATTTATTTAAAAAAAAACACATAATCCCCAAAAACAAAAAGCACTATACAAAGACAAACATAAAAAAAAAAAGAAAAATAAAAATTAATTTTAAGTTTGGTGTTTATTTAATATATATATATATATATATATATATATAATAATAATAATAATAACGTTTATTTGAAAAAACACGCTTCATCCCCGAAAGCTAAAAGCGCTGTACAAAGTCAACCATATAAAAAAAAAGAGAAATAAAAACAATCTATAATTTACCACATTTAAAAACAAACGCAAGAATATAAAAACTACAAACCAGCAAACCAAATCACAGTCTTTCATCCCTTTCAACCATAAGCAACACAAGCCAATATTCATTAACTGGTCAAAGATGGTAGACAACACCACCTCACAAGGTGTTTGCGAAATTGATGTGTTTTTAAATCGGTTTTTGTAACAGACCAAGTTGGCTGTGATTTTACACACGACACTATCATGTCAGAATGGCGTAGTAATTATAATTGTATGATAACATTGAGAATCACGAGAAAAAGAGCGAACTAATTTCTAGAGTGGAGGTAGACAGCACGCTTTAGTAGAGCGGGACAGTGTACCATTTTATCTGACACGGAGCAGGCATCTTTTTTATTTCTATCATGTGAATTTTTGAAGTATTGAGGTATGGTGATTCAATCGTGATGTGGAATATTGTATAAGTGTGTGATTATTGCATCCTAGAATCATTATTGCACGATTTCCTACTTGCAAGGCTTATTATTGATGTGTTTATAAAATGTAATAAAGTACTGTGTAAATTTATCCGGCAGGCCCTCCATCACAATAGTAATAGTTAGCCATGTTATATCTTCAATAGATTAGCATGTGTTACAGTTTTAAAGGACTCCAGTGTCTTGTTGTTTCCGAGAGCGACAGTAAGGGCGTTCCTAATTGTTGGGCCAGCAAATGCGAAAGTGCGCTTTCCGTAAGTGTCAAGGTGAACTCGCGGTATCGATAATTTTGCCGCTATCGGATGAGCGGGGCTGTCGTTTGGGTACATAAGGCGTCATTAGAGCTTTGAGATAGATATATTAAATACCTCGTTTCAGATTTCGGTGGAAACTACGGTATCTATACTACATGGCGTATCGAAACAGCAGGAAGAATGAAAATCCCCTGCAACCTGGAACATCGAAGTACGACGTCTTTATCTCATATGCCAGCCAGGACGAGGCCTTTGTCATAAACGAAGTAATGAAAGGTAAAATAAACAAAATATATCAGACAACTCACCATCCCCTTCATTTTTTAAAAATTTCATTCAAGGTATTCTGTAAGTAACTGCGTGTCATTTTTTTTTTTAATTTAAAAATTTTCGGTACATGTCCTATATGACTCACCACGCAGTCGCTAGGACTATTCTAGGCAGAAATCCTTCGAGAATTATCTATAGATATCTCTATGAAAGTCTGATAATGTGCGGTGGCTGTCTGTTATCACTATACACGTTGAGGTTTGTATTTCCTTATATGACAGACCCAGATACTATGGGAGACACGCCCCTGCGACCCCTTTTTTTTTAACAAAACAAAGACAGTGGTTCTCCGTGGAGACTAATTTAGTATAGAGTTCGACTAAAGCTGCTTCATGAGAAAAAATGTGTCTACGGAATCGCCATTATGCATATTTTGGTTACATTAAAGAAGACATGAAAAAAAAAAAATTGTTTCCGCAGTTTCATATACTAAGTAAGAAAGAGCATTGCGCGCGCAGAGCTATAACATATTTAAAGTTTCAATAGGATCTTCATTAGATTGGGTAAGTACACCAACCCCCCCCCCATCCCCTCCACCCTATATTGACACGGTGGTTTAGCTAATGTTATTTTAATGTTGTGTTCTATGACAGAGTTGTCTGCCCGTGGTCTCAAGCTGCACGTGCATGGGCGAGACTTCGCGGTGGGCGAGTACATCGCGTCCAACATCATCACGGCCATCCACGAGAGCAGGAGAACGCTGGTGGTCCTCACACGAAGACTGCTGGCCAGCAAATGGTGCACTTATGAACTTCAGGTAGTGCTACCTGTCAACTTGGTCATGGCTGGTAACTTTTAAACAAATTGTCAAACTTTCAGCATATTTGGTTGACATAATGTTACTCTCACTTACAATAAATTATCATTTTTTGTTTCCAAAATCTTCGTAAGTATTTAATTTTCTCTCTTTCACATGACATAATAATTATTGTAAACCAATTTACCCATCTAAAAATATAAGATGTCCTCTACATTTGAATTACTTTTAGATTGGGCTTAGAGAGTAAATCTTTCTTTTTTTTAAACACAGTACGGCTTTCTTTTTACTGGTTTGACTTCAGATCGAAACCTGGAAATGACTCAGAACTTATGATTCATCTTCTGAACAACTCTAAACTAACTGTTTCGTGATTGTGATGGAAATCATTCAGGAAAACATAATTGAACATTTATCACACATCCAGCGTTTAGCCTTGTTCGTTGAGCCAAACATATTCTTTAAGTATTTTTTTGTTGTTTTTTTTTAAAATAAAAAATAGGAATCAAAATTGTGAAAGCTATTTTTTTTATTTGTGTACACATTCTTGACATTGTGAAGGATGGATGCCATCATCATCAGTGGCACTACCTGAAGGGCGCCGGCCTGCTCCACCACATCCTTCCATTCCGAACAATCCATGGCTTTCTGCCTTCATGTGCGAATCCCCAACTGGTGTAAGTCCTTCTCTACATCGTCGATCCATCTCAGTCTTGGGCGACCGGCGAGCCGTCTGCCTCTGTGCTTCTGCCTGTAGATCACTTTTGCTGCTCTATGTTCGGGCATCCTTTCAATATGTCCTTCACAGCGCAGTCTGCCTTTTTTTTTATTGTTGCGACTATGGGTGGGGTTTTGTACAATTAGTATGGCACTTGGTTTCTACGGATTTATTTTGTGTTCACTTATAACAAGGATTGCCCAACAGAAACTTTGCTGATGACAAGTGACGAGTCGCCAATAACTCGACGACGTACGTTAAATAGCTTTCTTATTGCCCATTTGATTATAATATATATATTATAATTGTGACTTGATCATCTCACAATGCAAAACAAGACAATTTTTGGAGCATGTGTTGACATGCCTCTCATATATATATATGTAATATACATTTTTTTATATTTTTTTTTTAATAAAAATTTAACGCCAAAGTTTTAACTTATTCGACACATTTCTGATTTATAATAAAATTATTAGAAACGTTTTCATAAACTGCAACCTATTAACATAACCCCCCCATTTCCCACCCAGATGGCCAACATGGAGTCGGTCCACACGGGGCGACAGGTGCTCGTGTTCCTCCTAAAGGAGGCCATCCCTTCACGTGACCTGGGCACCGACCTCCTGTACCACATCAGGAACAACACCTACATCCTCTACCCGCAGGCCGATGGGGTGACGGACGCGAGGCTGATCGGGGCGTTTTGGGACAAGCTGGCCACAGATCTTGCCCGGCTCTAGAACTCATCTCATCTAAAGATAAAGGGTGCTGGGTGGCCGAGAGGTCTGAACTGAGCAACTCTCAAAGTTGGTGGTTTGGAGTTCAATTCCAGCCGAAGCCCAGTCAGGCGAAAACATCACCAGCACCCCGGATGGATGGGACTCGTTAATCTTGGATGGAAACTCATCTGAGAGAAGGAAACTCTGAATTCAAGCCCGGGGATGGAGTCCCGTAGAAACCTCCAGCCCCCACTCCCTTGTTGTTATTTTTCACGCAGAGCTCACAAAAATCAAGAATAAATCTATGGGGTTCAAGTTAGGGGTTAACATAATAATTGTGATTGATATTTTTTCAATGATAAGAAATAAAAAAAAAAAATTAAATATATATACAGAGAAATGAATTTTTGTATCTTTACTTTTATGTGATTTCGTGTGAAAGCTTGCCCCCGACCCCCTAGCCTGCCCCCGAACCCCTAGCCTGCCCCCGACCCCTTAGCGTGCCCGTCCATATCCCAACCGCCACCCAACCACCACCCACCCCCCAAACACACATAAGCTACCAGGAGCCTCCATACCACCCACGTTCTCATTTTTATCAATGTAATACATTTTGGAGGGGGTGGGTAAGTGTGTGTGTGTGTGGGGGGGGGTGGTTAGATAAGCGTCAATTTTAAAAAAAATGTTTTTATTTTTACAAATTAAACTAAAAAATTTACCGCCGAAGTTCTAAGCCATTCGACACATTTCTGATTAACCAAAGTGGTTAAGGAAAAACATAATGACATGACCACATTTCTCCCCCAGATGGTCAGCATGGAGTCGGTTGCAAAAAGTGCTGAATAGCGATCTTCTTGCAGCGTTTTACGCCAAGGCGTAGCTAGGGTTTGTTGGTGTCATCTGGTGCGGTAAACTCATGACGTCACCCCCTCCACCTCCACCTGACTCCCACGATGGATTTCTTCTTGTTAAAATTACACAGCATAACTATGACAGTAACAACAACAACAACAAATTAATCGAAGGGCAGGAGGCAAATGTATTGAAGACCTGTAACAATGTTAAGTTACGGCTATAGGTCAGGAGGCGAATGTATTGAAGACCTGTAACAATGTTAAGTTACGGTTATAGGTCAGGAGGCCAATGTATTGAAGACCTGTAACAATGTTAAGTTACGGCTATAGGTCAGGAGGCAAATGTATTGAAGACCTGTAACAATGTTAAGTTACGGCTATAGGTCAGGAGGCAAATGTATTGAAGACCTGTAACAATGTTAAGTTACGGCTATAGGTCAGGAGGCAAATGTATTGAAGACCTGTAACAATGTTAAGTTACGGCTATTTTTACATTAAATTTGCTTTTATTTAAAATTTCCTTTTACTGATCTTCAAAGCTCCAAACCTGTCAAGCGCTTGTTCAAAACCAATTTCCTTCACCGTATCACTTTCAATTGATAGTAGAGCCAGATCAGAAAGCCGTGTCCGTCCCATGGTGGATTACAGAGGCGTAGCGTGGTGGGGGCAGGGGGACAGATGTCCCGGGCGCCAGCTAGTTAGGTGCGCCAAAATGTGCTTTGATATTATTTTATTGATGAAAATAATGGGTTTGAGAGTTGAAAAAAAGAAAAAGGGGCGCTAAAAATGGATCTTGTCCCCGGGCGCGAATCTTGTCCCCGGGCGCCAAACACCCTCGCTACGCCACTGGTGGATTGTAAATAGCTTTGCCATTCTCTTCTCTCTACGAATTCCATGTTGGCCTGATTCCAAAAGTGGCTTTTCAAAAGCATGTTCCACCAAGTGACATCGTTTCTCGTGCAGAAACGATCTTTAAGGCCTCTTAGGCTGGTCACTTTACCAAGATTAAAGCCTTAAGTCTGCAGATCCTGCTGTATAAGATAAACTTCCTCAGTTAGATCAGCCCAAAAGTAAAGGTAGCCTATAAACGTGAAATCACAGGCAGCGTGTAAAAGACTGTGTGCTGTATGACAGTCGTGCTCAAATGTGAAGGGGCGGTTCCAGTTAATTGGCGGGGAAAAAAAATGTTTGAGTATTTCTGGGTTTCGATATATTTGACTTCAAATGCATTTTTAAAAATTAATTATTTAAAGATATAAAGTATTATTTTGTTAACCTTATTAAATTGGTCAAAATTATTTTTTAAAAATTGTTTTTAGTTTTTACCCCTGTCGATTCATGTACTTAGAATCGCCAGATCTAAATATTTGGTATCAATGGAAGGATTTATTTCTCAGAATTTAGATATATATAGCCTCCCGTCACTTACGAAGGTTACCGAACTCTTCTATCGGCGTTGAATCATGGTCAAAACGGTGTTCCTGACCTAATTATAGGTCTCCACATTTCGGACTCATCAAGCTTGAAATTTTAATAAAGAACGCATTTGACGAGGTTACATGTGTGGAAAATGTACTTGTGATCGGTTAATCCTTTTGTGAAATTCGTTTAGATTGAGCAGTGTGTGCTTTGTAAATTGTGGAATTTTTTTTCAATTTGGTGTCACCCGGTGCGGTTCCCATCCCCGCACCCCAGCCCCCCCCCCCCCCCCCCCCCCCCCCCCTTTTTATTTTTTTTCTAAAATGCAGTGTGTGCTTTGTAAATTGTGGAATTTTTTTTCAATTTGGTGTCACCCGGTGCGGTTCCCATCCCCGCCCCCCCGCCCCCCCCCCCCCAGCTACGCCACTGATTTTAATTTTGTTCTGAAAAACGAGTGGCATTGTTCATTTGAATCCATGGATACAATATTTATTTTGCCCTCATCCCGAACTTTGGATGCTCTATTAATCCATAATTATGTTTGCTTAACACTTTTACAATTTTCTTTGTTCAATTCTTAAGTTTGAAAAATGGCAAGGGTGAACAGTTAAATGCACATTGAGTATGTATTCTACGGTTACTGATTTTAGCTAGGGGCCCTAAATTAGTTTTGTTCATATATGAGCTGCGTAAATATAATTTCAAACAGAGCTATTGCATGAGTGGATGGAATTTAATACGTTTTTTTTTCCATTCCAAAAATATACGTCTTTTAAATTATAACGGAATAAAAAATGTCCCCATTAAATATACTTGAAATAAGAAAATGCCGTGCAAGTCAATCAGTGCAGCGAAACTCCATATCCAAATAGCATTCATGAATGTACTTATCACTCATCCAGATAAGAACAAACAATAAGAAATGCAGTAGATGTGTTTGCATACGTAGGGGGCTACGATCCCGTGAATGATTATTATACTTTTTATAAATTGGGGCAGGGGGGTGGGGAGGGGGGGGGGGGTTCCTTTCCTTTCATTTTGCCCTAGGCAGCACAAGATACGCATCAGAATACAGGTATGAATTTGATTGTTAAAAAATAACCTTCTTAAGTACATACATATCGGGGGTAGTAAAAAAGGATGTGTACATTTTACGTGGATAAAACTATCTATCAATCCAATGATAGTCTAGTTGTGAAAAAAGAGACGATACATTCTCTTTTTAAAAATAAACATATTATTCTGTTGATAAAGTAAGAAAATCAATGGCGTTAACAAAATGCATGGGTACATTTACATACGTTTTCACAAGAATATCAAAACCTAATCATGTTACACATGTGAAAATTAAATTTTCGAAAAAATGGAGATGGGTTAAAATTGTCTTTCAAAAAAATTAAAATATATTTTTGTCTTTACTTTGCGTAAAGTTAAATGGGTGTATATTGTTACGAAATTAATAACATTTCTGTATAAAAGACACTCCATGCTGTTACAGACGTGAAACAAAAATTCTTTTAGTTTACGATTTTCCGATAGCATAGTAGAAAACAAAGGCAAAAGATTGGTTAAATTTTTTTGTGAAGATATCAGTATATCAAAGTCCGTCAATATAAACTATATTTAAAATGGTATATAGAGTTGTTGTTGTAAATTTAAGATAGAGAAAATTATTTTAGTTTAGGGGCATGCAAAGTGGTAGGGTAGGCCAAACGTTTAACAATTTTAAAACACACGACATCGAAAGGATTTCAGGAGCGTAGAAATTAGCCGTCTACGATCTCCTTTGATGACAATAATGATTTAATTAGTTATCATTTAGATTTTGAATGTGTAGGGTAGTGCAGGCGAATAACATATATCAGAAAAATAATTCTTAAAACTTTTAAATATGTTAGAAATGTAAACATCATTACATAGATACTTCTGTTTAAAATAAGCAATTGTGATGAGTTTTCGCAATAGCAGGTAGAAATTATCGCAACGTGCCTGCTATTATTATCTCGATAGTATCGGGGGAAATTTTCTAGTATAATATGAAGAATTAAAGAAAAAAATAACACACACAGTCACCAATAAGTGGTGTCGTGCTATTGGAAAAAACCCATTCTTGCATAATAATGTCATTTTTTTAATAAAATATAAACTGGCCAATCAAATACGTTTTAATAATAAAACAGTCATGGCTTCTTCCTATCAACCAACTTACGGGAGACAACTCCAGGGTCAGGGCGACCAAATGTGAAGGCGAGAGGGTTGAAGACGGGTGGGGGGAAGTAGAGGTCAACTGTTAACTGTGCATCATGTAAACTTGACACTGGGACGCTGTTTGACCTAGAAAGTCTTACCAACATTTAAAGCTGTTACTCAATTCATATTAACACATTGTAACACGTGTTTTTTTTCCTTTAGATGGTAAAGCCTCATTATTAAAAAAAGCTTTAGCTAAGCATGACGTCACACATGCGTTTGATTTGTGGAACAAAGAAGGTTTGAAATAACAGCTGCCCACATACGGACTGGAAATAACGGCTAAAATATAAGTTGGAATATAACAGGTGGGCATTTATGGTTGCAAATAACGGCCGGTCATACAGGGTTGATAGTAAGTGATGCATGACCATATAATACGTTCGAAAGTAACAGCTGATATGCATAGTTGGAAACAACGGCTTGACATATATGGTGGGATATACGTGCAAGCCTTGTACGGTTGGGTATAAGTGCTCCCCATAGACAGCTGGAATAAGGGCTGGCATCTTTGGTGGGATAGATATATACAGGGTGGGCCAATAAAAGTGAGAACATCTCGTAGCGTAATATTCTACGAGATGTTCTCATTTTTATTGGCCCACCCTGTATGTATATATATATTATATAGATATATAGATATATATATATATATATATATATATATATATATATATATATATAATATGAGGTTGAAAATATTTGGTTTAAAAAAAAAGGTTGGAGTTATATAGTTCAATGTGTTGTTTAAAATATAAATATGTAGTTGGATATATACCGATGGGAAAAAAGGAGGTGGGTTGGGTTATATCGCTAATCTATGGTTGAAAATCTTGTATATATATATATATATATATGTGTGTGTGTGTGTCTC